TGAGGCTGTTAGACTCATTAATCTCTAACTAGAATAATCACTGTGAATAATCACATCATGTTGCTGCTGATCCGTTTTATGTTGCTGTGTTAATTTGTGTTCATCTGCTCACACAGACTCATGTTCGTGCTGCTGTTGTTCGGTGTATTGTTTTTGTACTATTAGTGCTTAGCATATTCTCTTAGTTTAGCAAATTACTTAGTTCATATCTTAGATCTTATTACTGTTTTTCTTTTACAATGTATACGTTTGTTGGATGTAACTGGGACCCTGTGTACACAGTTTCGTTCCACCACATGTACCACATGCCATGAGAATGACAATAAAGACACCTTGACCTTGATCTTGATATATATATATATATATATAATTATTACTCTTCTTCCTGTCATTTATCTACAGAACTAATTGTAGCAAAATTTACAGGTTTTTGCATAAAATCGGAGTTATTTAAGTGGGCAAGGATATTTGCAAATATATTTTTATTGTGTCCTTATATACTGTGGCAGATGTTTGCAGCAGTTCAGAATCTTTTTGACGTGGAATTGTTTTTAGTAGGATACGGTCATAAAATGTAAAAAAAAAAAAAAAAAGTTTATAAAATATAGGCATTTTGTGAATGCACGAACACATGATAATACTGTAATTAATGCCAGTATGTGTTCATTGGTTTGTTAGTAAAATATCTCCTCAACAACTGGACAAATTGTAATAAAATATTCAGTAATCACTGGATGTGCAACTGATTAACTTTTGATTTTAACCCAACTCCACTAATTACAAACACAAAAGCAGCTATAGCTTTGCCATTTTTACAGATGCTGAGCTAAAATTTGATGTGGTAGTAGCTGAGAGTCATCCCCAACACGTTCCCCAAGGGATAACAGATCATTTGAGGTATTCCTGTAAAACTTGTGCATGCATTCTGTCAAGCAATATGTATTTTATTTCAAACAATGCTACGTGTTAATTTGGTCATTATTTCCAAGATTATTTTTTTTTAAGGCAAATTATTTTGTCGGTACTGTGCACTGAAAAAAGTGATATCGCTAAAACACAACATTGAAGTGTTTACTGTCGTGATAACTATAAATATATATATTAAAAAAAAAAGATTTTCCATAATTTATATATTTTAAAATACAGTGATCCCTCACCTGTCGCGGGGGTTACGTTCCAGAGGTGAAAATCCGTGAAGTAGCGGTGTTATATTTATTTCATTATTTATATGTATTTAAGGCTTTATAAACCCTTCCCACACTCTTATAAACGCTTCATATGCTCTTAAACACGTTAGTGATTGTGATGATGATGAGATGAATGTACAGTACACACAATATAAAAAAAACTAGTTTAAAAAAATCCCGCGATATAGAGAAGCGGCAAGAAGTGAACCGCAACATATAAATGGTAAATGGACTGTGCTTATATAGCGCCTTTCTATCTTATCAAGATACTCAAGCTCTTTACACTACAATCCTCATTAACCCATTCATACAGCGCTCTACTAGATCTATACAAAGACTAAGCAGAGCTTGATCACATTCATACACTGATGGGACACACATCAGAGGCAACGAGGGGCTCAGTGTCTTGCCCAGGGACACTTCGGCATGTGACTGCTGGTGGATTCGAACCCCAACTCTCACAATGGAGGACGACCGCTCTAACCACTCAGCCACAGCCTCATATAGTGAGGGACTACTGTATTTTGGTAAGACCGCTCTTCATATGCAACAAAACCCTCTGAAATGAACTTGCTTCATGTATTGCGATCTTTAACTTGGCTCCACTTTAAAATTGTTATACTTGTATTTAGTAATGTCCAAACACAATTTTACCTAAACAATCATTTCCTCACCTGAAATTTGATAAAACTCCAGTATTTCCCAGTTAACATTAGTTCTGAACTTTGTCTATTTGGGCTTAAATTGTAATCAACGCATATTGATTCTGTTGTTCTTTGTAAAAGTTAATCGTCTTGTGACTCAAACAAAAGTTTGTGAGGCAGAGAGCTTTCTGTGAGTATTCCCAGGCTGACAGCGGCGTTACGTTGGCAGTAAGGGCGGTTGGCACCAATCTGCCCCCTCTCCACTACAAGTGGGGTCGCTGAGTGTTGGCACATGATGAATAGATCTGGTCTGGCCCCGAACAAAGAGCTCAGGACACCAGGACACTTGCAACAGCCCACCCTCACCGTGCTTTATCCTGGGCGTTGGTGACGAGGAGTACGTGGAATGAAACGCTGAGACCGTTGACTGAGTTCTGTGTTTCAGGGATAGAAAGAAATAAATCGAGCAAATGGGGCAGAACCAAATTCACCGAAAGTGACACGTGTTTGAAATTTTGTCCGAGTTGGAAGGGGTTGGACTGGAGGTTGAGGGAGTGAAGGGGTGAGGAGGGCGGGAGGTCTGCAGCGAAAGGACGATCGGTAACGGATGGGAAGGTTCAGACGGAATGGCAGACTTGCTGGAGGATCGCCAAAGCTTCTCGGGAACGCTGCCACGATGGAGAGAGGCGAAGAAAGCGCTTGGGAGCAGAGGGGAAAGGGAAAAAAAACCAAACCCGTGCCTGCAGTGGAGAGACTTGGCAGGGCTTCCTCTCTTTTGTCTGCCTGCTTTGGGGCTGCAGCGCCAGAGGAAATCAAGAAACGTCCAGGCTCGGTGGTGCTGGATGGGGACAAGTCTCGGCTCCGGATAAACGAGAACATAAATAATATACTTGGACTGAATGCTGAGCTTCTGGAAGGTGGAAACCACAAACAAAAGAAGACGTTCTCGTTTTTTACTCAGTTTTTCACATCGAAGCTTATTGGAACAAGTTTCGGAGACTGTCGGCAACAACCAGCAGTGTGGACTGGACTCTAACAGGACCGTGCTTATCCTTGAACTGGACTAAAATGGACTTAAGAGAGTCCTCTCGGAGCCAGAAGAAGGCCCAGCACAAGGTTGGTGATCATCTTTTGCAGGATCCGAGGGAATATTGACAATCTTTTGGGAGTTTCTAGGAGTTCAGTGACCAAACACTGGTTCAAGCCTGGGGACAGGCCGCACTGGGACAAGAATCTGAACAAAGTAATAAATTGCAAATGTTCCCTTTTTATAACACCTCCAAACTCCCTGACTTCATGACGCTGCGCTCTTCGAGTTTAAGAGACATCCATTCAATGTAAACAAAGAACTGAAAGTTTCTTTTGGGCCTCAGGGATGAGCAGTCTGATTACAGAACCGCTTTAGGAGCTCTTTCTGAACATTTGATGTTTGATTATTGGTAAAATCATTAAAAAAAATGTCCTCAAAGAACAAATGTGTTTCACAGTTTGTGATCCACAATTCCAAGAGCTGCCATGAAAAAAGTCCCATCAACATTAAACACACGTGGCTCCATTACTTCATCGGGCTTTGGTGAACTTAAACAAGTGCTTAAACGCAGCCCTGTTTGGAGTTCACAGCAGAAATGTCTTGCAAAGTTTAAACGGGTCACAGAAAGTTGGACTTTACTTGACTGAACTGGTATTTTTGACATTTTTAATGTGTTTTTTTTTACACAGTCACAGTTTAGGTTTGATGATGCTCGAGGATTTATACTACAGATTGTTGTACTTAGTGTGATAATATAACCAAATGTTACTTTGGAGATGAGGGCAGCACGGTGGCACAACTGGTAGAGCTGCTGCCTCTCAGCGAGCAGGTCCTTGGTTCAAACCCCGGTCCAGGGGCCTTTCTGGGTGGAGTTTGCATGTTCTCTCCGTGCATGCGTGGGTTTTCTCCGGGTGCTCCTGTTTCCTCCCACAGACCAAAAACATGCATGTTAG